CTCTGAGGAAGGGAGAACCGTGGTCATCTGAATATCTGTCCTCAGCTTGGTCCCCATCCACAGCGTTTTTTCAGGGACACCCCACAGGGCCCCAAGCACTTTAGAGAGCTCTGCCCAGGACCGAGAGGCTCCCACTGTGACCCCCAAACCCAGCAATCTGTGTTCGCAAGAGCTCCCCTGGAGGCAGGGGCAAAAGAGAGTTTGTGGCACTGTCACCCGGGCCTAGCCCATGCCAACCTCTAGGGACACCTCCTGGCTGCACCTCCCCCTGAGAATCAGAAACACCAGCAGGCAGGCTGAAGACAGCGATGCGAGGAGCCAGGCCAGTGGCTGCTGCAGATGAGAAGGCCGGGTTTGAGACAGCTTGGGTGGTGGTGCTTTCAAGGTCATGCACACCGAGGTCAGGCGGCAGAGGCCAGCCCTCTGAGGCTTCAGCCCCGGCCTGGCATTTGCAGAGGAGCGGCTGGGCGTGCGCCTGGTGAACGGAAGTAGCCGCTGCGATGGGACCGTGGAGGTCCGGCTCCGGACGGCCTGGGAGCCCGCGTGCGGGGCGCTGTGGGACGGCCGAGCCGCCGAGGCCGTGTGCCGCGCGCTGGGCTGCGGAGGCGCGCAGAGACCAGTCCAGCCCGTCACGCCGTCCGGGGAGCCACCGCCCCGGCCCGCCATGGGCAACGCCACCCGGACCCCTGCCATCCTGTGCCACAGCGCTGAGTGGCGACGCTGCAAGGTGCTGGACCAGGAGTGCAGCGGCGACTGGGCAGTGGCTCAGGTCACCTGCGCAGGTACGCCCTCCCCACCCTCTTCAGTCACGGCCTCTCACTCCGGGCCCCAGTCCCAGCCACTGGACTCAAGCCTCATCCTCTGACAGTCAGTCCCCTGCACGGCTCCCCTCCCCCAATACAAACACCCAGGGGCCTGCTCTCCCACTTTCTCGAATTGGCCCCTCCCCAACTAGGTGCGCCCTCTGTTCCCAGCCCGATCCACACTCGGTCTCCAATCCTAACTGGGTCTCTTAGTCCACTCACTGTCGCCTATCCACCTCTACACCCCACCCCGCCCCCACACAGTAAGTATTCCTTGCAGGGGCCCCCAGCACTGTGTCCCCCTCCAAGACACCTCCTCGAGGCCCCACCCACCAGGACCCTCAGTCCTGCGCTCCAGGTTTCTGCCCACCCACAACCGGTCTCCCCTCTCTCTCTGCCCCACCATCAACCAACCGCGGCACAGCCCCAGAGACCCGAGCGGTGCGGCTGGTGGGCGGCGGCGGCAGGTGCGAGGGCCGCGTGGAGCTGCTGGAGGGCGACCAGTGGGGCTCGGTGTGCGACGACACCTGGGACCTGCACGACGGGCACGTGGTGTGCCGCCAGCTGGGCTGCGGCTGGGCGGTCCAGGCCCTGCCCGGCTTGCACTTCACCCCCGGCCGCGGCCCCATCCACCGGGACCAGGTGAACTGCTCCGGGACCGAGGCCTACCTGTGGGACTGCCCGGGGATGCCCGGGGCCGGTTACTGCGGCCACAAAGAGGACGCTGGCGTGCGGTGCTCAGGTCGGTGCTTCCGGTCGTGGGCTGGGGCGAGTGGCAGGATGGGGGGTGGAGGTGGGGGTGGGAGGGGTGTCAGGAGGGGCCAAACTCACTCAGGACCAAAGATGGTAAACAGCCCAGAGCAGTGGTCGAATGCATATCAATGAACAACCGGTTCCCCACCATGATGACCATTTTAAATATATTAAAAAGATAGATACCAAAAGGTAATTTATCATTTCATAGAGTTAATCCTTAAATAAGAACGCCAAAAGAGGTACACAAACCAATATTCTGTGACAAAAGTTTTCGCAATATTAATGAAAAAATACTAAATAATACCTGACTCCCCAAAAAACCAATATAACTGTGACTTATTTCCATATTGTTTGTGGATTGCTGTCCTCACTTGCAATATTCTCCACATTTATTACCTGCTTGGTTCCGTCTGATTCTTTATACCTGTGGGCGGAATATTACTACGGGCACTTAGAATACACTGCTGTACAGATGAACGTTACAAAAGAGCAAGGAACGTAGATTTGTGATTTCCACAGCGGCCCACCTTAGCGAGAACCCAGATTACAAGTGTCATTTTAGCAACTGGTTCGCTGAACCCAACAACAAATTAGGAAATGTTTCTGCCGAACGGGTGGGAACTGGCTGAATCCCACCACTGCCTGAGAGGTTGGTTGTCAGGCCAGCTTAGCCCTGTTAGAAGATCCAGTGGGAATGGAAGAAAGCCCTTCTCCACCCCTTAGAGGAGAAATAAGCCAAGTGGGCCTCTCCTTAGAGAGGACTGGGCCCCTGGTTCAGAGCAGCCAGCACAGAGAAGTAGACCAGGAGGTTCTGCCCAGCCCATGCCCCCCACTGGGTCTATGCCCCCACATTATGATTCAGCAAGCCTATGGCAGGGTTGGGGACCCTGTGTGTCTATCAAGACCCCAGGTGAGGCTGAGGCTGCTGGTCCTCGGACCGCACTTTGAGTAGCAAGGATCTGGCTTCAGAGAAGCAGCCCTGGGAGTGCTTAAGCATTTGGTTGCCAACCAAAAGGTGGGCAGTTCAAACCCACTGTTGCCTACATGAGAGGACAGATGGGGAAGGGGAACGTGTAGGAGCTGGACACTGCCTGGCTAGTGCTGGGGGAGCTAAGCTAGGAACCATTTTAGACCCAAATACTCCTGATTTGGCCCTTCCCCCTCCTGTTTCCCCTGCAGAGCACCAGTCCTGGCGTCTGACCGGGAGTGCTGACCCCTGCCATGGGCAGGTGGAGGTGGACTACCATGGGGTCTGGAGCACGGTGTGTGACAGTGAGTGGTACTCACCGGAGGCCGAGGTGCTCTGCCAGTCCTTGGGCTGTGGGCCTGTGGACAGCATACCCAAGGGGCTGCCGCACTCCCTGGCAGGCAGGATGTACTACTCGTGCACGGGAGGGGAGACCACCCTCGCTGAATGCTCCTGGCGGTTCAACAACTCCAATCTCTGCAGCCAGTCGCTGGCAGCCAAGGTCTTCTGTTCAGGTACCTCACTCTCCACCCCACTCCCACCTAGATCCATGTCCTAAGAACTGGCAGCCCAAGGATGAGGTCGGGGATGGCGAATATTAGTGGGAGAGGCACCACTGCCCTTACTGTGCCTGGGCAGACATTACTAATTGATCACAAACCCTCAGCTCAGCCCCAGAACCATGAATCTGATTGTACAGGAAGACATTGGTATATGCCAAGTGGAGACAGTGGTGGTTTGGTGGCAGAAGACTCGCTTTCCATGTGGAGTCCTGGGTTTGATTCCCAACCAATGCACCTCATGCACAGATACCACCCATGTGCCAGTGGAGGTGGGTTAGGCATTGGGCCGCTAACAGCAAGGTCAGCAGTTCAAAACCACCAGCCACTCCCTGGGAGATAGATGAGGCTTTCTACTCCTGTAGAGCTGCAGTCTCAGAAACTCACAGGGTCAGCTCTGTCCTGCCCTAAGAGCCAGAATGGACTTGATGGTAGGGAGTTTGTTTATTCATCTTTTGGCTTATGATGCTGAAGAGGTTTCAGCAGAGCTTCCAGATGAAGATGCACTAGGAAGAAAGGCCTGGCACCCCACTGCTGAAAAGCTGCAGTTGATTGAAGCCCCTATTGATATAAGAGTCTACTTAACAACCGATCCTGGGTGGGATGGTGCAGGCCCCGGCAGGGTCTTCATGAGTTAGGGCTGAATCGAAGGTGGGCCACAAGAGCACCTAGCTAAGGAGTGGTCCCTGTTAATGGGAGTGACTATGCCGTGACCCATGAAGTAAAAACACAGCATGACTGATCACATTAGGACATCTTACAGCTAATGCCAGCTCCCAATCATGTGCCAAGCACTCAGCATATCTATTTTTTTGGATGATGGGAAGCTTTTGTCTTATTCTTAACAGTTTTGTGGCATAGCATTCACACCTTAGACAATCCAGCAGTTACATCACATCAAGAAGGGTTACACAGTCACCACCACAATCAGTTTGAGAACATTTTCTTTGTTCTTGTACTCGTCCCC